ATTCCTTGGTACCGTTTATTCATCGCCACGGGCTCCCTCAGCTTGCCATCAGAGCCATGTTGATCAGTCCTTGGCCACCTTGCTATATATCAGTAAATCGTCCCCTCCCGAAATGCTTCTTCTGTCGAACGGTGCAGTCTGTCCTCCCCACACCACTTGATGGTGATGTTGGCCTTGGAGAGAAAAAGGAAAAGGGAAGTTGGCCAAGGAAGGTCGATAGGATAGATTGAAAAAGAAAGAGAGAAGAGGATATCACCCAAGACAAGTTGAAGTTTTTTTCTTATGTTCTGGTTCCCACGAAAAGGGATATGCTGTAATGTTCAGAGAACAAAGTGAGAACCAAGGGAAATAAGGTAGGAAGTGATGTTCTTCTTGAATTTCTGGAGGTTATATGCCTGTTATATATAGCTGTTCGTTGGATGAACGAGTCTTTGGAAAGAGATGTTCTGCAGGTCCCAAAGTGACCACGAAAGGATGCGAAGCCTCAACTCGACGGGTTAATCTCGCGGGGACTGCCAAGGGAGGAACAATGGTTGATATTTCAGAAAAGCATCGTCCATGAAAATATCTATGAGAAAGAACCAGATCGCCAACTTTTCTACGGTGTTCCAGAAAAGTGAGTGAGTTTGTGAGCGAGGCATCACCCACGAGACGAATTGACCTTTTCTTGGAAAGAATCCAACAGTTTCAGGGTATGTTTGGGTGCTGCACTCCAAATATGGAAACAGTATTCCAGGACCAGGTCGGATCTGTGCCTTATAGATCATAAGCATCTGACTGGAAGTGAAATAGCTCCTGGCTCGAAACATAAAACCAAGTTTTTGGGATGCACTTTTAACAATTGATCTCACGTGATTTTCCCAAGATAGGTAATTGCTGATAGTAATACCAAGCATCGAAATGGATGTCTTCAAAGGTATGTTTACTCCTGACAAGCTTATGTTGGGCATAGTGAGATCGGCTTTTTTGGAGAAAGGGCATGCTTGTGTTTTGTTTGCATTGAAATCTGGTTATTGGATCCCCATTCGAGAATTGTTGTCAAGTTCATATTCATGTTGTCAACAATTCTCCCTCGTTCGTTTCTGATTTGCCTCGCTGGTATTGGAGCGCTGGAATATCCGTCCAGGGTTGTGAGCCCCTGAGGAAAGGAAGTGTATTTGAAAATAAAATTCAAGATCTTTTTAAAAGTATAATATTAACAGGTCTATCTACTAAATGGGCTCAAAGGATCTATACATATAATCTTCCATCTACAATCCAAACAGTGATTTAGAAAAAACACTCATTGAGTCACTTGATGAAATCTTGTCATAAATCTTACACCTGATTCCAACAGATTAATCAATAGATAAAAATATGTACAGATATAACAATGCGGGTATTCATTTTCAGTCAATGATAATAATGATAGGTAATAGGTATCTGAGGAATTCCTCAGAATGGATTGTTCCCACTTGAAAAAATATTAAATATAGATTTTAATCGAAGTACTTATAACTTCATCGCAAATAGCCTACGTCGAATATTGAAGAAATATTGATGTATTGAGGATGAATTCATGTTTTTATCATTATACCTACTATATATGTTCCTCCCAGCAAACTGTTAGTTTCTTCCTTCTTTCTTCAATGTACCAATAAAACGGATGAAGCTGAGCGACAAGCCGAAGCTTTCACCATCACTCACGGCTTAGAGCAGCTTATCAAGGAACCTACACGAATTCTGAATGTCAACAATCATTCAGCCAACACACTAGACTTATTCCTCACTAATGATTTATCACCTTACACCATAGATGTATACGAGCACCACTTGGCAATTCTGATCACACGCTCATCTCCACAACCTGGCCATTCTTCATTCCATCAACTACTCCAGCACCCACATGTCTTGTATGGCATTATAACTCAGGAGACTGGGACAGTGTCCGCAAGTTTTTCTCCAAGTTTCTTTGGCCTAGAATATGCTTTAATTCTGAGATCATCACGCGCTTGTAATGGACACATACATACCTCATTCTTCGAAACGACCATCAGCTTCGAAACCCTGGTTCAATAAGAACTGTTCTAAAGTTGTTGCCTTGAAACAAACAGCCTACCATCGTGACTAGAACAGAATATGTTGAAGCGGGGAATAACTGCAGCCAAAAAATAGGTACATCAAAAGAATAATACAATGCCACAATGGGATCAAAACTCATAGATCGTCCCATCAGACGCATTCTGCTCGGTCTCAAGACGAATAAGGCTGGGTCAAGTCTGTGGTTTGACCGGGCACATACGTTCAGTATGAAGTTTGACCATCGGTTTGACCAACCAGCTGTTTGGGAATATGGGTCACGTTTCAAACCACAAAGTTACCACGTTAACTTTCGATGGAAGTCGAGTCAACCATATTGGCCATCATGGCATCACCACTGTGGTCGAACGAATGTCATTGTCCACAATTGTACACCAGAATTGACACAGATTCTTCCCAAGCTATCTACCATCTCCTACAAGTCGGGTATATTTTCATCTTGTTGGAAAATACCTAGCTAGAGTTCAACCAATCAACAGTAGATGTATTTCTCCCAAAATCCACCATTGCTGTTCATTTTATGAACATTTTGTGGAAATGTCTCTGAGCTTTTTGTATATATTTAATCTTATTTTCACCAAGTGGCAGCGCATATGAAGTCGATACAAAGATACTAACCTACAAATATATATACATACCAAGCTAATATAAGCGTGTTAACAATAAAAAACGACGAAGCTGCTCATGGGCGCCGCCAGAAAAAAACATGGAGGATCCTTCTGACCAATATCCACTTCGAGCTGATAAGTAGTGTATAGCAACGAATTTTGAAGAAATCATTAATTTTTTTTTGACAAAACATCTACGGTAAGAGAAAACAACCTACATGAATACTGTCTGTAGGTTAATCGAGGAGGTGGTTCATTCATTATTCCAGATTTTTTGGGATTTTCTCTCCTCGTTTCTATAAAATGAAAATATTAATATTATTTCAATGTGCGTGTAGTAAGGACAAATTCGATGAATTGCCCCAAAATGTCTTTTTCCATGTGTGGTAAATATAACTAAAATATCAAATAACCATCAGGTTGTCAAGATTTGCAACCTCCAAATGTAAACAAAGATTGTTTTTTTTTTCAAACATTAAAACTGGAATTATCTCATGAACATATGAGATATTGTTGAATGATGTTTTCATTCAATAAACACACTCAAGCTTTAGTGATGACTGTCTCAGCGTACCACACCAAATGAGGGACATTCATACAAATGCGCATATTATTAGTATTTTGAGTCATTCTTTTCGAAATTTTCAATTTAATAACATACAATGAGCCATATCACTTGTTTTCAACATAATATACTATTCGAATAATTTTTTTTCAAAAGCAAGCTTGTGATGGTCTATTTTAAATAATCCGCAATAATGTCGTTTGGTGCGGAATGCGCATGTACTAATTGTGTGGTTCGCGAGTTCCGGTTCCGTACATGTGCAGTTAGCCGAGGTCGGCGATAGAGGACAGAGGGTACTTAGTCCTTCGTCATTTTTAATATTGATACCGGCGGCATGTAACTCGGTCAATTATATCTTGTAACCAGTTATTGTCAATGTGTTATCGTCGATCCATAATAAATAGTATTTGTTGCCTGATTGAGCTGTATTTACCCACTAGAATAACCCACGACCTGTGATTTCCTTGAGCTAGCCGAAGGAGTAGACTAGTGCATTTGGCGCCCAACGTTGGGCGGAACCGGAACTCGCGAACCACACAATTAGTACATGCGCATGCCGCACCAAACGACATTATGGCGGATTATTTAAAATAGACCATCACAAGCTAATCATTTTTTCATCGAAAATAATTGTTCGAATTTTTCCGTCCCACTGTACCCTCCTGAAGAGCTGCATAGTTAGCGAAACACGTGTCGGGAGAAGTGCCTAAATCTTTCGAACCATTCCCATCACGTGATTTCGAGTTTTATTCTCGTCCACTAACAGCATGGCGTCAGCCCACTGTGATCATTACTATAGTGGTTTAGCCTTTCAAGGATGTTTTTCCTTCCTCTCGAGGCCCCGAGGTTCTCCAATGAGGTTTGGGAATGGTTCGAAAACTATAGGCTTTCGTGTGTCGGGCCGTTGAAAACCGGTTTAGTTTTTCTTTATGTGATTAAATTTTAAGTAATAATTCCAGTTTCGTTGCAGAGAATATTTCGACTATGGTTTCAGTGATTTATGATTATTTATGATTTATGGCATAGATTAACGACTCCCCGTTAATCTATGTTTATGGTAAAAAATCATTGCATCCGGCACCCCACTGTTCTTCAATGATTTTGTTATTTTGTTGGTAATTATGCGACATAATATATGAAGTATAACCTTTTGCAAAACTTCGTTTGAAGGAGCAAATGTGCTCTGCTATGGTTATTTTCATCAAATGAAATAAGTAATCCAAAATGAGAGTACGACTTTCATGAACCCAGTATTTTTGTACCTCACCTAATTTTCGAGAAAAAAAATGAAATGTGATTTTACTCTAAACTTTATTGTAAGTAGGTGCATTCAAACAAAGACACCCACCGAGATTTCTCAATAATCACAATAAATAATAAGTATAGGTAGGTGCCTGAGAGAGAATACCTACATTCTCAAATACAGTTCAGTCATCACTGATAAAATAATGTCAAAATTAAGGTGGTTTAAGATATTGAAACAATTATTTATGCACCAAGGTAGTAAAGAATATCATTATCATCTAGGGACCAAAATTATATCCAGAGGCTTCAGCCGAGAAGGTCCCGTGGTAATGATATTCTTTATTACCAAGGTGTACATTGAATTTTTTTCACCACTAGCAATACATTTCAATCATTTTAGTTCTGTAAAACTGAAATATGGACTCATTTTCACTATGAAAGCACTTCTTTTCTATTTTGATTAAAATCTAGTAGTCACGACCATGACAGCATATTTTTTTTTTATGTTCTGGTTCCCACGAAAAAGGATATCCTGTGATGTTCAGAGAACATCGTGAGAACCAAGGGAAATAACTCGTTATTGATGAATACCTACTAGATTCGAGTGCTATTCCTGCGAAAATCGCCATAACAACAGTGAATTCAGGTTAATTACAAAAGAGGTGGGTGGCTATGTCTTTATTGACTAGTTTTTCATAGGGTCCCTTAAGGTTCATAATATTTCGAAAACTACCTTGGTACTTTGTAGTAAAATCACACTTTACGCCTTGAAAAAGAGTAAATAATGGTAGGTTTTATAGCTAGTGGTGGAAAAAATAATAGAACGATACAATATTGTTCTGAGAATTACTATACAAAGTAATTAAGTTACAAGCTCTTTTTCCAATGTTTGCCTATTTTAAAATTCACAATTACAGAGAATCAGAATCGTGGGTCCACTTCGCGACAAGATATAATAACAACACTGTTCGTCAACCGCCACATAAACACCATAAGTATATTTCAAGGAAGGATTCATCTGAACTTCCTTCATGATCTTGCTTTGCCTGCAAGCCTTCAATTTATGGAACTTGACACTGAATCACCTCGTATATTCGATTTACGAATTTTCAAATATTATATTCGGTGCCTGATGTCAGTCAAGTTTAACTCTTTCCTCTCCTCTGCCAAACAATTTCCTCTTCAAAGATGTGGTCAACTTCCATACTAAATAAACCAGAATCGAGATCACGACCACGATAACCGCAATGACGTCCAGGAAGAAATATTGGTAGAGTGGTAAATCTACAATGGCATTCTTGAAGTGCTTCGCACCTCTGTTCCTGATAACATATTCTACCCACCAAATCACAGTGTCCACTCCTACCATAGGTTGGTCCCGTGCCAAGGTGGCGAGTTTTTTCACATTTTCTTTGTACCTGAAAATTATAAGTTTGAAAAACTGTTTTACTAGCCTGATGGCTGATGGTGTAAGAAAGAAGTATAAGTACCCAGCCAACCATGAGATGTATAAGTGATGTATACGACACATCACTTTGTGACATGCGATATCACATTTGAAGTCACAAACATGTTACCGATACAACGTGGCGATGTGAAAATGTCCGACTCAAGCAACATCACTGTGACGTCCTTCAGACATGAAATGCGACATCACATGAAAAATCACTACCAGGTCACATGCAAGTGATATTACAAATACATCACACTGCGACATCGATGATGTGGTCGCCGTACCTGTGATATTCGTGAGATATATAATAATAATTATTCAACTTTACGAAGAAAATGTTTATTTACATACAACACTTATCATGACAATCACCCTAATTAGTAATCTTGAAGTAAAACATGACACATATACATATATAGCAATACAAATATACATTATTCATAAATGATACATATCGAATACACTTCATAATCATCTTGGGATCTTTCATCCACCTTGTTTTAGATTGCAATATTCGTATCTCAGAGATAATTACAATATTACTTATTGTGATTGTTCTCACCGTCGTTCCTAAATGATTGTATACCTCCAATTTGAACCTGCTATAATATGTGCTATAAATCATCTCAGATATTTCAACAGAGAATTTGGAAGGAAACAGTCTGTACGGAGTCGGACTCACTCACTGACTGACATGGCCATGCACAGCTCAACATGGCGTCTGGCTTGTGCGTTCGTTTTGCGCATGTCTGTGTCACAATCACAGGTCACAAAGATATCTCATGAGGATATCAATGTGAATTATTTAGTTAACGTCGAAGAGATGTAGTTTGAAGAAGTCGCTGCCACATTAGTTTCCTGGTGGCGATGTCACCTTGCGACGTTGATATCGAATCTACGTCGATAAGATGTGTTAACGAGATATTGAATTTATGCAAGGTTGTTACATCACACAGATGTTGATGTCACACGATGGTTGGCTGGGATATAATCTTGGGAAATATGACTTATAACGTTCTTGCATAAATTCGTTTGAGAAAGCAAATGTGTTTAGCTCTAATATTTCTTGTAGGTATTTATGAACACAAACATACAATTTTTACGCTAAACGAAATAGTGATTAAATTTTCAGTAGGTTTGGAGAATCAGAGAATGGGTTGCTTGCAAGATCTGCCAGATGACCGACCCTGAACATTGAAATATAACCTCACCTTTTTCATTTGTTTCGGCTATTCAATAATTCAAGCATGCCATCACATTGTGCTGTTGTACAGTGCACAAAAAATGCAGCGCGAGAGACGTAATAGGTGAGGTCGGTACATTTTTTAGGGACATTAAAATGAAAAATGAGACTTTTCTCCAAAAAGATTCCTTCTACTACATTCTAACAAGACTACCTTTCCATATAGAAGTATTTGAAGAATCATATTCTGGTCGAAGAAATGAGATGAATCTTGAAACAACAAAACTTTGGGCATTTTTATAGCGTATCGGTTACGCGTTTCGCACCTCCCGCCTCATATTAAATCATGTTTTCCGTATCACGAAAAGATTTGTAAGATTGAATCACCCTTCCCAGCGAGCACAAACATCCCTGGGATGTTTTGGGATGTTTTGAAAATGTTGGCATGAAGATGTTATTTTGAGACGTAATATGCACTGACCAAAGAGGTCTTTGAAGGATATTGAAGTATTGTTTTTGTTCTTCTGTGGCATTTCTTTGTTTGCCTACTGAGAGGTATCCCTGGGATGTTTTGGGATGTTTTAGAAATGTAGGCATGAGGATGGTTTTGTGTTTGTTCTGTGCCTCAGTGTAATCAATATATAAAAGTACGAATTTATCAATACACAGCTTCTCCGCAGTTGCAAAATTATGCATTGTGGAGAACATTTCAAAAATTGGGAAACCTATTTCCAATTATATGTCTGTGTGTAGTAAGCACTACTCAGAAACCGAATAAGAAGGTAATTTCATATCAAGAAAATATTTTTATGTTCAATCTATTTTTAATGCATTTTTTCATTCAAGGGAAATGGAATCCTAATGCAAAAGTTCATTTTGACAAAAGGCTTCAGAAAAGTACCTCGAAAATGGTTTTTTTACAGCGATTTAATGTGCACAAGACGCGTTGAAAATGTTTTGTTGTGTCCATGAAAAGGCTTTAAGAAGAACTAGGGAGAAGGTAGTTTTGTGACATATCAGGGACATCTCGATAATTGCCGCCTGCGGCGGACATTGGCTGTTCTATAATAGTTCTATTCATGTGTGAACAGAACATCGCAGTGGAGGTTCAATGTCTCGAAATCTCGTACTTTTAACATCTCTGAGATGTTTTTGTGCTCGCTGGGTTAGATACCAAAATTCGTGAGTCTGGGATCAGTGATAACAAAGTTAAATGAAGAGAACTGCCATTAATGGGCACATGTTGCTATAGGAACATTTCTTCTTCTTAAGTATAGAGTTACCTCTCGGACTACACGAACGTTATTCTGTGACACCCTGTATTTCTATCGATCAAGAATATTTTTGAAAGTCGTATGTCACAAAGTCGTTAATCTATGCACAAACTAAACCGTAGCAGAAGTCTATAATGTGGTATTGAATTATGCAAAGAATGATTCATTCGCCATTTCGTTTTTGAGCGTTAGACTCTTGATATTTCCATTCATATTTCGTATTATTTAACATAATCGTGCAAAAAACAATAATTAATGTGCAGTGGCTTCTAACATTGCGATCGATTTATTTCTCATGTAGTGTGTAGGTACCACAAACTATCATCTTTCAAAATACCATATATTTTTCAAAATCGAGTTTTTTCAGTCGATTTCGGCGTTTATATTATCATATATTATCAGGTTGAAAAATCGATGAAAGTTCGAACTGAATGATCTGGAAATAGTTTTTCTTCCATTTTCAAACTCAGCACGGCAGTATTGTGGTTCTGTATCGTGTTTTGTGTTGTTATGTTTTATTAAATCGTTCAAGTTTCCTGAGTGTTTGAGAAAAACCGAGACCGGACTTGATAGTAACGACAATACTCTCTGGCTCTTATTGAAGCAACTCTATTCATTCTAGACCTCGTACCTCTTACTATGGTTCTTTAAAATTTCCGTGAGGAAATTCGTGAACGATTGTACAAATTAAATGAATTAATTTTTATCATTTCCACCAGAGTGATTCTGACTTACGATTGATTAGTGATTACTTCGTCGATGGCTGAACGAAAATCAGCTTTCACCAGATTCGGATTGTGTTGCACAGTCTGGCCAATGCCTTTGGCGACTATTCTTTTAGCATTTCTCATCTGATCGCCAAAGAAAGGTAGTACCACCATTGGAACATGACTGAATACAGCTTCCTCTAACGATTGTAGACCTCCCTGGGTGATGAATAATTTGATGTTCGGATGTCCTAAACAAATAACAATCAACTAGGAAAAAGCCAAATACTTAAAGTGGAATGCAATGGTCACAAAGAGAGAAACTCAAAGTCATTATCACAATAGTTCATAAAATGAACGAAAATGGTCTTTCGTTCCTAAACGCCGAGCTGCGCCTTAGTGGTTCAGGAACGCGTGACTTATACCTGCAAACCGGTTTTGAGCTGTTGGCTTTCATCATTGCAGGGCTGTCCCAGATAGCTTCTTGACCGCTATATGGTGCGAACCTGACCCAACCACCACCACCACCACCACGCCCCCCGAAAGGTTGAATGCCCAGGATCAAGTGCCGCCATATAACTAGCTTAGGTTATATGATAGCTCCTCATCCCCATGTCCATCTACCCTGACTCACTAACGAGTGGACTTCAACCTTATGCATTTGGCAATCTGCATATATGTTTTATAAAACCCCTTACTTCGTTTCAGTCTTCCGACTTATAAATCTTTTTGTCTAATGTGTGTTTCCTAGCCTGACTTTGCGTGGTGGTTCCCTACCCTAATGGAAAGCAAATTTGAGTTTATGTATTATCATTATTGGTTTACATTTCTATAGGGTATCAAAGGAGAGACTCTTCTGTTCAATTATCTGATGATTATTATGCAACTTTTATTGATATTGATTTACTTTCGTTTGATTATCTTATATTTGGTGAATTGGGCGCCTTTACTTTATTCTTCCGAAGCGCGGGTCTTGATTTAGTTGTCTATTAGTCTGGTCGTGTAGTATAGCGGGTTTTCGTGGGTTTCTGTTCTTTCGAATGTAGTCTCCGCGTGTTGTCTTATGTAGTTGTCTATGTAGTCTGGGTTTATGTTCAGGTCCCTATAGATAAATCTATTTGGGATATACCATGGGGCATTTACTGCCATTCTTATTGAGACATTTAGAAATGCCTGTATTCGCTTTTTGTATGTCTCTGCGTATTGGCCCCATGCACTTGATGCATACAAAATTATTGGAAGTAGAATGGTTCTTATTAGGCGCAGCTCCAACTCTAGATAGCCATGTTGCTTCTGCGACCTATTAGTGGCTGTAGGTTTTGCCTTGCGGCTTTACCCAAGTTTAGTCGTGTTGTGATGTGTTGTCTGAACTGAAAGTAAGTTTGTTATCTAGGGTTACCCCTAGATATTTTGCCTCATCTGCCCATGGTATATCTGTGTGTCGTTTAGTATTACGTGTCCTGTGGCCTGTGGGTTTGGTACGTCGTCTAGTGAAGAGAACAGCTTGGCTTTTCTCTGCGTTGATTTCTATTTTCCAGTTGTTAAACCAGGTTTCTAGTATGTCTATTTGTTCTTGTAGGTATCGTAGTGTCATGTCTGCGTTGCTGGATCTAGTTGTTCGCGGGTTTAGGGATATCTGCGGTAAAAATGGAGAAAAGTAGTGGTGAAAGCACCGCACCTTGCGGTACTCCTGCTTCTAGCTCCCTCTCTGCAGAGATTTCGTTGCCAACTTTACATTGGCATCGCCTTCCCCGCAGAAAGGAGGCAATTAGCTTTACCATAGATATCGGGTACCCGTAGTCTGCCATTTTGGTCAGTAGTCCGTCGAATGCTTTCGAAACGTCAAGGAAGACTGCTCCAGTATAATGTCCTTTTCCGATATTGAATCCAGTAATCGCGTAATCTACTATTCTGAGAACTTGGAGTTCTGTGCAGTGGTTTCGCCTCAAAGTGGAATGCAATGGTCACAAAGAGAGAGAAACTGAAAGTCCTCGCCCTCGAGCTACAAATCGCACCTTGGAAAAAATCTTGCATTTCTTTCCATTGATGTATAATGTACTATTAATCAAAGTTTCGATTGAGTAGGTTTATAATAATGGGGAAGTGTATGAGATCATTGATGGAGTTCAAAAAGGGAATTGTTATTTGTTTTGTAGTTGATAGTGATTGACACTGATTAAAGGTACTTGGGTAGCACAGATCTTATACGTACATCTCTACCAAGGAAGCTAAAGCCAATTCATTTTACCTCCCACGGGCGGTAATTTTTCTTCCTCCCGTGGGAGTCCTTAAATAAGGTAGCAAACGCTTACTTTCGATGCAGTGAGTAGATACAATATTTTATCTGTTTTTGCACATTGTTCATATAGTTTATTAGTATATGAACAGCTAGAGGAAGTTAAGAATATTTGGTGAATGTGATGTGACTTACTCAAAACATCTTGTTGTGGTGCCCATTTTATCAATTTAACATTGCCAATATCCTCTGGAACATATTCCATATCACTTTTCCATAAAATTTTGTATGGCAGGTCACGAACAGTTTCAATAATCACTGAAATCTTCTCAGGTTTTAGTGCATGGTGGTTCACGTGGGTACCAAAACTAATGTAGATAGCGCCTTCGGTAGCACTGTCTAAATAAGTTTTCAGGTCCTGAGAAAAAAATTATGAACAGTTCAATCTATAACGCTGTCGTCAAACCCAAATGACTTTGAAGCCATTGTGCCAAAGTCAACTTCTGTGAAATTCCCCCTGAAAAACCACCCACTTCATTTTTTCAAAGTTATACCCTATATATACATTTTTCAGTTGATTAGTGAAGTGCAATCAATTTTAACTTCAACGATGTATCACACTTGATATTTTGACATACGTTATATACTCCCAGAATCACAAAATTCGAAGGAAAAAGTATCAGGTGTAGATCATTCCTTTTGTTATGTTTTTTACAGGTGCTCGTGTTAGTTTGTAGGTACATACATCGGGTGCATCCAACTAAGAAATACCTTTTAGGTTTACTGCAAATGACTATTCTTTCAATTGGACGTCAGTTAAATTATCAATACATAGTTGAAGTTAAAATTGATGGCACTTCACAATCAATAAAAAAATGTATAGGGTGTAACTTGAAAAACTGAAGTTGGGATGGTTTTTCAGGGGTATAATTTGACAGAAATTGACTTTGACACAATGGCTTGAATGTCATTTGGGTTTGACAGAAGTGTAATTTCATTTCCAAGCACCATAACTGATATATTGGCTGAATGAAAAGATCTGGAACACAAGATCAGAAGATGTTTTATCCATAGTTTCCTTTTCCATTGAGTTTTCTTCGGTCACTGAAGTTGAGTATAATTAATGAGGTGAAAAAATAGGATGAATTTGGATCGATGAAGAGCAAACTCGTATCTTTGTCTGTCACTCGGTAACAGTTGGAACGCCCCATATAAATTTATGTTTATTAAACCTATTCTTTACTATCAATAAAATCGATTAGGTACCTTTCAATATTGTTTCATGACAAAACGTAGTATATCTATATTTATATGATCAATTTGAATGTTATCGATTAATTCCTCTCGATATTATCAATCATATAACAACGTGATATACTCTTACTACTTATTAATGAAAATACTCAATTCTTCTGTAGTCATCATATACAGGATGATAGATTGTACAAGAGATTATTACTATTTTTGTAGTTCATTCATCAGAAAATTTTAGTGCATAACCCAATTAGGTTTTCGAGAAACAAGATATTTTAAAGCTATAATATTCTCTGAGGGATATTCTGTTTGTTCTTACGGTTACATTACGATTGTTTAATAATGATAATGAAAATTATCGAAACGAATCATTTTCTCGTATTAGGTACATACTTATTCGATCACTAGTACTTGAAAAATGATTGGTTTCTTTTACAAACAAATTCAATACAATAGAACAACTGAAAATGATTTTTTGACATTAAATAGATATAAATCCTAATAAAATTCGATCATATAGAACTCAGGAAAGTACATACCTAAATCTTATTGAAAACTACATGTTGAGCAAAAAATATTGAAATCGGGCAATGAAAATTAATATGAAAATATAATGGTCTCGCTGCTCAAAGTGGGACTCACTGTACATAATATTGACTCAAGCTCCTTTGAAAATTCAATCGGCAACGATACGACTTATCAGCAAGTTTGTTTTTGGAAGCTGATTGAGAAGTTGAGTATTATAAAAAAAAATTGAAATACTTTATAGGTAAGCTCACCTCTGGCAAAGGCTCAGCTTCACGTAGATGCACCCCTCCACCATAATATATCGTATTAGGACCATGGGGCCTAACAGGTTCCAAAACTGGATTAACATTCAGAAGCAGCATATCCACATCCTTCAACATTTGAGATATGGGTGGAATAGAATCTCCAAAATGCTTCTTCACCATCAAATCTTTCACTGGAAACAATTCCTGGATCCTATAGTAATTCACGTAGAGCAAGAAGATGCTGCTGACAAAACGTTCAAAGAAACCGAGTTCGCCATAATACGGTAAAAAGTATTCTGGATACAAAATAGGGTGAATAGTATTGCCCATAGCAGCATGCACTATACTCTGCGTTTCCATTGAACCTACCAGGATCTTCGGGGTGTTGTAAAGTTCTGCGAACGCCAGATACTCCGGACACATACTTTCCACCAGAACCACGTCGAAAGTTTCGGAACCTTTGATGAGGTTTCTAACTAGAGGCTCTCGCAACTGGTTATCCACAGCTTTGTTCAAAGAGTTTTGGTAAGACCTTATGATATTCAAAGGTGTCAAGTTTTCTATGTTGTTGTGGATTTCGTCAGCGTACTTGTACGATGAATGCACATCAATCTCTCGTAGATTGGTCACGTTCTTATCGCCCACTGGATCCGTTGTTATCACTACAACATCGTGGCCCTTCAGGGCTAGGGCCTTCCAAATCGAGTGAAAGGCTATCTGGTGGCTGTATGAGGGCGTTGGTATGATACCCAAAATTCTCGAAGAACTTACGATTGGCGCCAGAAGGAAAATGGCCAGCGAGAATTTGAACATCATGGTGGTGTCTCAGTCTGATGATGCCGGCTTGAAGCAACTGAAGGCATTAATATGGATATCTTTGTATATATTGTCAAATACAGGTGTTAGGGTACTCGAGATTTTAAGATAAGCAACGCAGTTTTGAATTGTATTCAAATTGCGAATCAGATGAAATGATTGAGAGTTTGATGTAGATAACAATTTTTCATTAAAAATTCAGGATAGTCATCATTATTGTCTTCTCTTTCTATAGAAAATAACTATAAGGTAACTCCTACATTATCCGATAGGTACGATTCTCGTGAATGGTAAATATTTCTCGGTTTGATTGATAATCTTTCGAGATTCACGGAGAGTGTTTTCCAGAAATCTTTATCTCTGTGGAAATAATAAATGGACATCTTGGAAACTACGTGAGATATATAGTCTAAGATCCGAACCTAAATCGACCTTCACCGAGCTGATAATAGAACGAAATATATTTTATCATGAATTTAGTATATTAGAAAACATATTAAAAAAGGGTTCGCTAAAAAAATCCTGGGCAGACTATTTTTAATTATTTTTCGAAAAATGATTTTTAATTAAATTTTGCAACATCAGGATAATAAAAAAATTTTGTCCTGACTGAAAGTATAAAACGTATAGAATGTGCAGCCGTTGAGTTTTCTACTATATTTACCTGGGCGAACTACTGGTTTGTCAGGTAAACACAGGTATATCGATGCCAGTTACTTTCACTGGATTGGATAATTAAAAAAAAATTATATCATCATAAGCGCTGTTTAATTGCGAACACGTTGATATAGGGTTGTCTGCGAAAATTCCGGTCCTATTAGGGGTTTGCGAATTTTAAAGATTTTAATTTCAACGCGCGTGGAAGTGTGTGACAGAGAGATCCGAGGTAAGTATACTGTGTAATAATAAAGGACCCAACATCGCAGTATTTATACTGTTTTTTAATAAAATTTTAAATCGTAATACAAGATGTCTAGTCTATCTTTTTTGTTATTTCTCAATTTAAATTTTTGGCGGTCCACTTTGTTTCTATTTCCAGAAAGAGCAAACAAATTTCAAAGTAAGTAATTGATATTTTTATTGTCTATTATAGATTATAGATATATTATTATGGTTATAACGCAATATATTGATATTATATTGTTTTTATATATTAGTATTATATTAAATATATTTAATTATTATGTAATTAATTAATTATTTTTTTTGCTACTGAAATATCAGTTGCTCCAAAATAACACGCACTGTTTACTATATGAAGGGTAGTAGAGGTACCTCTACCCTCCATAGTTTACACACCGAGCATGCGCACTTTCTACTATTCAGGGTCCCATCACAAGCGACTGCGATGTTGGGTCCTCTATTATTACACAGTATACTTACCTCGGATCTCTCTGTCACACACTTCCACGCGCGTTGAAATTAAAATCTTTAAAATTCGCAAACCCCTAATAGGTCCGGAATTTTCGCAGACAACCCTATATCAACGTGTTCGCAATTAAACAGCGCTTATGATGATATAATTTTTTTTTAATTATCCAATCCAGTGAAAGTAACTGGCATCGATATACCTGTGTTACCTGACAACCCAGTAGTTCGCCCAGGTAAATAGTAGACAACCCAACGGCTGCACATTCTATACGTTTTATACTTTCAGTCAGGAAAAATTTTTTTCATTATCCTGATGTTGCAACATTCAATTAAAAATCATTTTTCGAAAAATAATTAAAAATAGTCTGCCCAGGATTTTTTTAGCGAACCCATTTTTAATATGTTTTCTAATATACTAAATTCATGATAAAATATATTTCGTTCTATTATCAGCTCGGTGAAGGTCGATTTAGGTTCGGATCTTCTACTAATAGAATTGCTTCAATGGGAGAAAAGTTGCGCGAGTGAAGGACCAACAAAATGATTTCCAAAAATATCTGGCGTTGATAATGAAGTTATGATAAAACTGAAAAGACATCTTCTCGGCAACCTTTGATGCCTTTCAATTTGGTATCATCGGTTTTCTGATCCAGCGTTTCGTCTTTGATCATGCAGTGAAAAGGTTATTTTTATTTTTTGAGCGAAAACCGTGCATCAGATTGAAAAAATTGTAGACATCAAATTTGCTAAGAAAGATCGAGAATTCCAGGAATGATTTCAATTTCAAGATTAGTCATCAGTGTCTGCCAAAATAAGTGTGTGAAATTCTAATCGTACGCCACTGGGGGTGACAAAATGAAATTTGGTACACTAACTGATGCCTCTTGATACATGGTACATGTATGCCAAATTCCATCAGAATATATCTAAAGTGGTATTACAAAATATTGATAAAAAACTTTTTATTCTTGAGAACTTTACCACCCTGTATCTCAAAAGTTAAGACGTTTAGGACATACGTTCATATGAAATTTTCTTCTCAAAATGGGCACAAGAATCGCCTCTTCCAATATTGACATTCAATTAGGAAACACCCTGTATATTTTCATGTATTTCTCCCGACTGATTCTCGATATAGAGATATAGTGTAAGCTCGTCGTGAATTACCCTCTGTATGTTCAAAAAGATAGCCATTGCTTTCTTAGCCTGCATACAGGGTGTCTGTAAAAGGTCTTTACAAAAACATACCACATATTCCCTACACCAAAATAAGTCGATTTAAGTAAAATTACCTCAGTACAAAGTTGCATCGTTTGGGCTCGAGAGGGCCTTGAAGTTACAAGTTTTAAATCGTTTTTCCCATATAAATAATTCAAAACGGCATATTCAATTTTCCTGAAATTTGGTATATTGAAAGAGTTTTATGTGGCAAAAAAAAATGGTGTTAAAATTTTGTCCGATAATAATACATAGGCGTAGAACTTGGTTTTTTAAATAATTGCACCTTTAAAAATTCTACGCCAATGGAAGAAAAGGAGATTGAGTATGAAATTTAGATGGCGCAACTCATTTACTTTGAAAAAGATACTCTTGATAAGGCTCGATTGCTTTCATGGTTTTGACAAAATTTGCATTTTAGTAATTTTTGAACATAAACAATAATTATTAAAATACAAACTTTGACAAAACCATGAGAGTAGGTAAATCGAGTGCTATCAAGGGTACTTTTTTGAAGCAAATGAGTACCCAATCCAAATTTTATACTCAAACCCCTTTTCTGCCATTGGCGTAGAATTTTTAAGGGTGCAATTATTTAAAAAATCAAGTTCTACGCCTATGTCATAACTTCATCATTAACGCAAGAAAAAAATGAAATTGACAGTCCAAAAATTCGAAAAGTCATATGAGATATTTTTGAAAGTCATTTTGTTCGTCCTTCACTCGCGCAACTTTTTTCCCATTTGTATCTCTTGTAGTTTCTGAGATGACAGTGTATATTCTCGTATTTTTTCATCGTCTATAATAAACTGTTGAAATGTCATAACCACGATGACATCTGTACTTTCTTCGAGTGGTTCAGACTAGAGTTCCTAAATGTACATTTAGGAACTCTAGTTCAGACTAGCGTATCATAAAAATAAACGTCATAGTCTAAAAGATCCGACTGCATGAATAATAATACGTTCTCCAAATTTAATAAAAATACTATCTCAACATGATTATATTCAGGAATAGAAGAGAGGGGAATAAATTTTTATCGGATTGACTATCGAAATGTGGCCGCAAAGTATTTTTAATCAAAATTTTGTCGATTTTCAAATTTCATCCATTTGTTTTTAGAGGAATATATTCCACCTATTTATGTAAAGAACTTGAAAATTTATGGTTTCTGTTGCGCACTTGGCCGGAAACTCTTCGGATCAAGATGAAAACGGGTATCATTTTGTCACATTAATACGTTCATGGCTTTTATTGGTCAATATGAAACTTTTAATCTTACCACCTTTCGCATTTCACTTTCTCTACTTTACATATGGATCATTTGGTAATACTTTGATCACTTTATATCGTCCTCTCTATAAACTCAAGATCTAATGATCTGTTTCTCATTGCCTACTTTTTGCTTCAACAATCACGTATATCAAATTGTTTGATTTCATCAGCTTTACCACTATATTGAATCGCTCAGTGTTTCTTTTTGGCAACTATTCGAATGATTTCGCTGACCTGTTTTCTTTTATCAACTAAAGTAATAACTACAATCATTTTCATATTATGCAACAAGTCCATGCTCTATTTTATTCAACTGCAATGATGGATTTTATCCCCGAATATTGCAACTCGGCAGGATTTAATCTGATAGATTACTCTTTGTTTACTGCGCTATTTTATGCCAAGAAATTCCACTCAGTATAGACATAAAATATTATTAGCCATAACAATTTTCTTCTTAAAAAATGTGTTCAGAGCAAAAAGACAATATCCTTAACTTTCTTTGATCAGTGAATATAGGGTTCTCGAACGTGTGTCACCCTGTAAATTTAAATTTCCCTGTGTAAATGTGGAAAATTGAAGATAAAAAGCGACCTATCTCAGGAAATTCTACAGAAATGGATAGTTTGGCTGAGAATTTATGTATATCCAGTACTCTAGGAATAAGAAGAATTTTATGAAATTATATTTCAATTCTGATGTTCATAAAATTAATTGTCAAATTCAAAACAAGAAATAATTCAATCTAAACATTCAAAAACACAGTTGTCATTTCAGTGTCCAAACACATCTCAGTCCAAACCATGATCCAAACTCATCTTATCCATGATTTATCTAACTAATACCATCAATAATACCATCAATAGTGACTCTAGTCCAAACCAGATGTCTATTGAAATTCTGAGCAATATTGGAAACATTTTATTATTAGTTTCAGTATTCCATGTTGTGTCCAATGGTCTTTTAAATGAATATTAACAACACATTTATTCTTTCATTCAGTCATTTATTCATGGAATGAAGCATTATAATCACTTTTTAATCAAAGATCATACAAATTAGAAATAAATTGGTGAAGTAGGGAAATAATACTATTTTAGTAAATATTTTGAGCAATTTCATATCCTTTAAGACTGAAGTACTTTTGATGAGAGTCAAATTGCTGACAACAAAAAACAAAGCAGTATAAAATAAAACACATGCAATAATTAATATTATTGTCCAGGTCCTGACAAAGACTTATCCATGAACTTCTTCTTAGCAAAGCAGAGCCACCATTTGCTTGGCTTACCATCTTCCCCAAAAACTTTATCACATACTCTTAGTCCCACTTCCTGTCTCACCTGTGTCAGATATGCTTTCAGAAACTCAACATCATTTTGATTAGCAGGTTTACTGTGGAAGAAAAAAAATAAAACAAACAAGCTCTGTGAGAATGATCTTTGAATACCTATATACTGAATTTAGAGGAAATCCTGGATCTCCAGGAATATCAAATCTAGATGCAGCTAGTGTTTTCATTTCATTTTGTGCTTGACTTTTATTACTGCATCTCTGCAGTTTTTTCAAACATTCTGTTATGTACAAAGTTATATAAATCAGTAGTCTGTCGGCTTCAGACTGAAACAAAAACATATCAAGAAAGAGATTAGGACAACTCATTATTCAAGTAGGTACCTTGATTTCATATGTTCTGAAAAAAACATTTGCTTTGAAGAAGTAAATTGATTCATCAATAATATCTTGGTCTGCAATAAGATGCTGTGGCGCTGGACCTCTGAATTGAGTTCTTATCGGTAAAATTGCTGTATTGCCAATAATCTTTGGTGGTTCAAGAAAACTTGAATGGTAGGCCTGAGGAAAAATCGAATTGATTGAAAAAAGACACACCCTTTCCAGTTGAATTCAACTTACAGGCATACTTCGAAGATGAGATCAAAACATTCGACAACTCGACTTCAAACCGAATTAAACTCCTTTGGTGGCTCTGTTGTGTACCTATTATGTCTTTCAAAGGGACCCGAAATCCACAAAAATCAAAAATTGAGTCAGAAACTAAAAATGAGGTTATGTTTTGACAACACATTCTTCTAATTTTATTACTGATTAGTGACTAGAAGCCTCAGCCTCTTAGAGCAGTTAGGCCTCGTGCCATTATAGCCTCGTGTCTTGAAACTATTCAATCATGAAAGGTTCTTGCCATTTGCCGGTAACATTGGTTGCATAAGTAGAAGGTATAAATGGGCTCAGACGCTGGTCCAAACTTGGGTCCAAACAAACCAAAACGACTCAAGGAGGCAAGACATGACACCGGAGCAAAATTTGTTCAATTATTGGTAGGTCAGGTAGGTATTGAATTTTGACACCCATTTTGAATGTCTAGAGAGGCATCTTAGTCGTGGTCTAGAGGCATGAATGATGTCGAAAAGTAATACCTACCCCACTGCCGAATGTACAATGAACATTATTTCCCCCTATTTTCTAATTTTTAATTTTTTCGGTTGTACAAAATTTACAACCCTTCCTCCTTTTTTAAAATTTTTTGGTCGTACGAAATGAGAGAATCTGTCTATTACGTTCGTGGAACATAAAATATCCCAGACAGCACAAGATATTCCATGAATCTCCCTATCATATTCCTTTTGTAATATTGGAATATTCTAGAAATAATCTGGAATATTCCGGAATATCTGTGGAATATTCTCTAAATATGCGAATGGGAATTCCTCAGATATTCATAGAATATATCCAAAAGAATATTCCATGTTGAATATTCCTGGAATATTCCAATAAACATATTCTAAAATGAAAAAAAGTGACCATAGTAGGGATCGAACTCGTGACCTCAAGACTATCAGACCAACGCCTTGACCACTAGGCCAGTAATCGAATTGAATGATGTTGTACATATCAATTTCTTGTGAGAGCGTTGTTCGAAATCGGATCATAAACATGCACTTTTTGTTTCAAAATCCCCTTACATCTAATTTTGATGTTCGATACTCACAACTCTGAAATAATGATGGGTATCTATGTGTTGAGAAACATAGGAATATTCATGGAATATTTAATGAATATACACCACAGAATATTCAGTTGAGAATATTTCATGAATATACCGCAAAGAATATTCAGTTGAGAATATTTCATGAATATACCCCACAGAACATTCAGTTGGGAATATTTCATGAATATACAAGAGAGAATATTCATTTGGGAATATTCCTGGAATATTATTCATACCTGAATATTCCCTGAACATCACTTTGGAATATTCCTTCTAGATGTTCCAGAGGCATGTATATATTCTAGGAATAATCGATGAATATTCGGAATATACTCCTACTTTTTAGCATATTTAGAGAATATTCTAGGAATATCCAGTGCTGTCTGGGATATACCCTTTTTTCTCATTCATTCAATTATTTGAATTTGAATTTAGTTACATTGATGAAATAAACCTATATATTTCATCAATGTAGGTACTATGAAATGCATGCTTGGTATCTGCATTATATTGTTTCTATATGCACACATGATGTTATTATCATATACCATTACATATTACCATTTCATAAATTTCTGAACAAACTCAACATTTTTTAGTTAAATTAGACGTGTGATATATACAGGGTGTTTCATAATTGAATGCTGATCCTAAAGGGCGATGATCCTTGGATGATTTTGAGGAGAGAAGTTCATATCAACATAATGTCCTGAACCTCTTAGTTTTTGAGCTACAGGGTGTTGAAATCAGAAGCGTACAGCGTTTATTTAAACTAAACATTCAATATCAGGTCTACGCGAGGACATCACTGGTAAAAGTAAATGTTATTTGATTTTTGTCCCAAAACAAAATGTGTTTCCACTTATAGTGGGTGTCTACTGAATTACCAAAAACAATATCCAAGAACTGAAGGAACAAAATTCTTTGGTTTTTATTTTTTTACGCGAAAACGGTACGTTGTATGAAAGTTAGTCTGGGAATCAAATTTGCTCCAAAATGAATAAGAATTGAAAAAAAATCTGGTTCTCAGAGAAATCAGTGGCGTACTATTTTTTTCTTCAAAAATTGTCAGTTCAAACCCCGTACGGACGCCACTGGTGAGAATTTTCAAATATCTTTCACGTAAAGAAATGCTCCCTATATAATAATAAAAAGGTGTATACAAGATATCATGACAATATCTAAGAGTGATAAAAAATTATGATGAAAAACTCATTTTTTCCTTGGAATTTCATCACCCTGTAGCTCATTAACTGAGAGGTTTAGGACATGTGTTGATATGAACTTTTCTCTTTGAAATCATCCAAGGATTATCGCCCTCAAGGATCAGCATTCAATTATGGAACACCCTGTATATAAAAGCCAGAAAGGCCCAAAAAATACCTAGTTTATTTTTTGCAGACATCTCCCAGGGTAGGTGCGCGGTAGGAAATTAATTATTATCTGCTCTGAAACTGTACCGTAACACTCAATATATTATTTATATAGGACCGGACAAAAAGTGGCACTTTAATTATCGGTTTTCTGGTTCAATGCGGGCGTAAAAAATAGAAATAGTTGAATGACGCTAAAGTGATTAAAGGTACACACTATATTTTCCGTATATTCTCTGTTGAAATAGGTACCATATATTATTTATTCTTCCGTAATTGGCTTAAAGTTCCCTAATTCCATCAAATAAATATTGTCTGAAGCAGTATTCTGCATAAAAACTTGTATGTATCACGTACGTAAAATGTGTTTATAGCGTTCGGGCCATAAACGCCTACTTTACGCACTCGATATATAAATAACTAGTATATTGTGTATATTGAAGGATATATTTTTTTTTTTTTTTTTTTTTTTTTTTTATCGATTGGAGCGCACGAAAGGGAATCCCTATATGGACCTAGGCAATTCATAAACGCAACGATAAACGCCTCTTTCAAGCCCTTTTGATACATAAATGACATAGACAATATCTCTATTAATTGTGTGCTATATATGAATATGAATACCTATACAGGTAGGTCAAGTTCGAGAAAGATATTCAGATCATTATACAAATTAAATATTATTGTTATATTTCAATTACCTACTCGAAAATATTGCTGACCTGAAAATTAACGCTGAGTCGAACATATATGTCTAGTAGACACCTATGAAGTAAAATAAATTTCATCAACTAATGCATTTCACTTCCACAGTAGGTGGTAAATATACTTGAAGCAACAGATATGCATCCAAATTTCATTTTTGGTTTTTTCTATTTTCAACTTATATGTACTACATTAGCAGGCAGTCCCAAATTACGTAAGTTTATAGTACCTAACTCATGTTTTTCGACCAACTTCACAAACTGTTGATTTTTGTAGCCTCATACTTGAAAATATGCCATCGTTCAGATCCGAATATCGAAAAATGTTTGAAGAATTCTGTGGAGGAACTAAAACCCCTATTGGCCAAGGGCATTAAAGAGCTCAATATACCTAGTTGTGAGCCCCTTCTTATACCAGAAGTCAATATAGACCAGGGGTCTGGACCAGTAGCACTAAAATCAGCTTACAAAGACATAAAAGTGTATGGACCCTCCAAATTCGTTATAAAACAAATAAAGTAAGTCTATTGTTCCAAAATTTCACTATATACAGTGTGTCCCAGCTATAACTTGTCACCCACCTAATCTCCGCGATGTCGTTAAAAAATTGAAAATTGTTCGGACAGATCGATTTCAATTAGGCGACGCACACATTTTTTTGTAATTATCATATCTCAAAGTTGAAACCTTGAAGGGTGATAGGCATCAACTTTCGATTTCTAAATAGAACACCCTGTATTTTATTGCATCATTATAGATTCTCCATGAAGAGCTGATTTCATCAATGCATCACATTTGGAGTCTAGCAAGAAAGATTACAGAAATATAGGGTGTTCAAAATTAAGATTTTTCAACTTTAGATTCTTTTTTTGTATCGAAACTCTACATTTTCGGTAAAAACGGTTTTCTTATACCTATCTTGAATTTTGATTCACTAATTCTACTGACATTTAAATGAAACAAATACAGGGTTCTTCAAGATTCAGAATTCTGAATACCCTGTATTTGTTCCAATTAAATATTAGTAGATAGTAAATAAAGAGTCAAGAAAAGATCATGAAAGTCGTTTGGACCGATAATGGATCGTATCGACATAAAAAAATCCTAAACTTGAAAAATATCGATTTTGAACACCCTACATCTCTGTATAATAATTCTCGATAAAATCCAAGGGTGATACATTGATTAAATCAGCTCTTCATCAGAGATAATCTAAATATGCAATTACATACAGGGTGATCCATTTGAGAATTGTAAGTTGATGATGCCCGTAACGCTTTAAGGTTTATATTTTGGAATATTATAATTGCAGTTGAAATCGACTTGTTCGAGTGATTTTCAATTCATTTAATGATTTCGGAGATAATGGGGGTGACAAGTGTTAGCTGGGACATACTGTATATCAAATTAGTAACCTAAGAGATACATTCAATCGATTGTCGGTTACACCATGTTTGAAAAATGAAGACGAAGAATATAATAGATATTATCTTCGGAAGATTTTGAGAGACTAAATGAGACTGCAACCCCATTCTATTTTTTTCAGAGTTGATTTTGAGAAAGACAAAATGAGACTGAAAATATGGTTGCCCCATTTGGAAGTTATATGCAGATACGTGATGGATGGAAAAATACTAATGATGCCTATTACTGGCAGTGGCTTGAGCAAAGCCAATTATTGTGAGTATCGCTTTTTCTACAATAAGTTTCCAATGAAATAAGTGCACATCATATGATACAGTCTAACGAATAGACCAGATTTTCCCTAATTCTTTTTATTAACGAGAAATTTCATCCCCAAAATTAAAGAAAAAAAAATAGAGTACGCCACTTTAAATCAATTTAAATGATTGAAATCCGCGTGATAGTGCGTTCCGCACGAAAATTTGAACAGAGGTGACGTCAGAATTGCTAGTGTAGAAAAAGCGGTCTAGCCCCAGATTTTAGTTTGATCCCTATATTTTTTTGGTGCCATTCAACAGTATATACCTATGCGTAGAGCTTTCTCAGGGATTGAAATATTTGCACTTATTTCAATGCCACCCTGTATATCAGTTTCCATATTATTTCAGCTAACATTGATGCCACAATAACAATAAGAGCAGAAAAGATCAATAGAGATAATGATAAGTATTACAATGTCACCGATTTTTATGTTCAATTCGAAATTGGGGAGGCCAATATTAATTTCGATAATCTTTTCAATGGCGATAAGGAATTAGGTGAGCACTAACAACGTTCAAGATGGATATTCGATATTCATGCATATTCTTTCATTATTTTAGGTGAAGCAATGAACCTGTTTTTGAATGATAACTGGAAACAAGTTGCCGGAGAAATCAAACCCGTGCTCGAAGATAGCATTGCCAGTATTTTCAAAAAATTCTCTAACAGGATTTTCCATAAATATCCCATAAATGTTTTATTACCAAAGTAGTATTACTGGTACTCGCTTATATGAATAATTTCCATCATTTTGATACATTTTTCAATAAAACTGTTTAAGAAATAATTATTTTTCTTATCATTATAGGGATTCCCTTTCGTGCGCTCCAAGCGATAAAAAAAAATACATTCCAGAAAGATGATTTTCAGTCTAATGAATGAATAAAAGTGTATAAATTTCAGGTAAAATATCACTTTATTTAAAGTAAATCTACAACAGACAAATGACATTGTGCAAAACTTTATAAAATCCAGTGCATCTTGTTGATGAGGATATAAAATTCCAACATGTAAAATCAACAGGTATTGGAGCAAGTATTCACTTTGAGTGAAATAATCATAATTTTCCTCTTTTGTGGTGTAAAACAAGAGCATCTCATTCATAGGCCTGGAAGCCACAAATTCACTTTCATTATAGACTGGCCTTTAATGAATTAATGTTAGATTCTGGCAACGTATTTTTGATGTACGCTCATTTCATTGCCTGATTTTCATGGGTTTCTTGTTGAAATTTGAAAAAAATCACAACGCGAAAAAAATTGCAAACGTTGCCCTCCTGTAGGAATACGTCGCAGAATAATTTTTTGTGTTACTTGAATCACGATGAACTATACTTTGCATATACTGCATATTACTATTGGTAATATTTTAAACATTCGCTTTTATTGTGTTACAAAATAAGTTAATAATTTCGGGACCCCCTACACGAGGACGACGTTTGCAAATTTTTTCAGTGGTACGATTATTTTCGAATTTCAACAAGAACCACTTTGCAACCTTTTATAAATCGTTCGAAATCATCAATTTTCAATGCAAATTCAAATTTGTTTGGTGACGCCGCTGCGAACACAATTAGATAGTAATTGTCTAGGACATATTGAAAACCCATGATAATGAGACTTGAAAGATGCATGCATTAAAAAAACGTTGAACAAAATATGTCATTATTGGCCAGTCTATTAGTACAGACTAGGGTCGCTAGGGTCCCTTGATGAAAATTGACGTATTTGTCATCTCAACATTGTACGGACAGATCCTCGTCTCCTCTCACTCTAGTGTTTGTGAAACAGTTATATAGTTCCATCTTTATTCATTTCTGGGGGTAAACACTAGATTTCTGACATTTGTTGTTTTTTTAGGTTATATTGAGGACATTGGCGTATCATACGTAATTTCCACATGTAATTTCTCATGCAACTCTACATATTATATCCAAATGATGATGATAATTTTCGAGCTTTTGATTTTTCATCTCCAGCATAATCTTTGTGAGGCAGTGAGCAAATTTTTCTGAAAGTTAAATACGTTTTACCAAACGGGACTGTTCTTAGGCTTTCAGACTCAGATTATGGTTGGGAAATGGTGGACAATTGTGTGTAGGTATTCAAATAATGTCGTGCTCATATGTCACGTGTCTGTATATATTCATGTTGGTAATTATTTTTGCAGTTTTTAACGAACACACAATATTTCCTGGATGTAGGTATAATATTTTAATGGTAGGGCATATGCCTCTCCTTTTAATCCTCCTTTTTAATCAAAACTGCTTCTACTAAAACATATTCAAAAACTTGTGGAGTGGATAATTATAGGCACATTGAGAAAGTATAATATGTGATTTCGTATTAGTTTTACCTCAAATATTTTGCTGATGTATTTACCAATTTTCCCCATTTGTTCACTTCAGTTTCCATGTTCTAAATTCATTTGCATTTGATGGAAAGCTGATAAATTCAAATTTGCCATCCAACTAATTGGTACATCCTACTGCCTGACGCAGCACATTTTACCATCCTTCCAAAACAGAATTGAATAATGTCGTATCAGGATAAAGCATGAAATTAAAATTTTGTAAGATCTCTTTTAACGCCCTATGAATGTGACGTGACAGCAATGTCATGTCAGGGACACCAATACACGAAACCAAAGTCACTAGATGATTAAAAGAGAAAGGAGCTTATATGATCTGTCCGTACCCTGTTAGATGAGAAATACGTCAGTTTGCATCAAGGAACCCTAGTATACAACCCAGCATGGTACAAACATTCAATAAATAAACAGATAAGAAAGACAAAACTTCCATTATAAAAAAAATGGGAGTGTATAAGAACTGTACAGACTTGGCGGGTGCCTAAAAAATGTTTGAATGTTGACTGATTACTTTTGCTGGTTATTTCACCATGGTTCCTTATTTTTATGCAAATTATATTGCGAAGGACATGCGAGAGGGTACATTCAAGGCATCAATAATTCAATGGGAAGAGTATTGGTCAGTTAGAATGAATACATAAGACCTATTATATCTAGATATTCAATTATTCATATACTGGCACTGGCCCTAAAATCGACAAGGCCAATCTGTCCGTATTTTACGAAAACTGATGTCCAATGGTCGAAATCGTTCCGACCAACGATCCACGTACATGTCAGGAAAATTGGCCTTTTTAATAATATTCAATTAACTTAGGCCATCATGTAATGCATCTTGATTTCCAATTTGATTTTTCAAAATTTAAATTTCATGAAGTCATTCCAATGGAATATTTTGTGCTGCCATTTTAAAGTTGGCTCACATGGCATTTTATTGGCATTAAAATACAAAATATTGTGATTATGGTGAACAATATACAGCATGTCTCACTTTAAAAGTGGGTCATTTCACTATAATGTTCATGTTATCATTATAGCTATATTATTGTTCATGAACTATTTTTCTTGATAAAAAACATTATAATTATTATCATTATTGAACGGCCCTCCCTCTATGTCTCAGCTATTAGTCGTGCGATTCCTAACAAATTTGGACAGATATGTAGGTACCTATGAATAACCATCAATATGATCAGTATTTCATTATTGTTTCTTATGCTTTCAAATTTCCATATGCAAAAAATCAAATCTTCCCAAATAAACAGGATTGGATTTTTTTTCCGATTTCAGAACCGAAAAAATAGTGAATTCCGGTATGTAGAAAATCATGAAAAAAAACAAGATATACTTACTATTTTATGTTGAACTCATATTTTCTGATTAAATAATCATTAGGTTCGCAAAAATGCTGCTCAGATGTGCCTGTTTTTTTTTAACTATTCATAGGAATCATATGAAAATTTACATAGGATGGTTTGAAACCATGAAAAACAATATTATAAGGTCAGCTTTCCTGTAAAAAAGTTCCGGATGATTTCATAAAAAATTTACCACTTTTCAGTTTAATAAAAACAAAATGATGTTTGTCTCTGGAAAAACTGATCATATTGATGGATATTTATACCAGTCCAAAGGTGAAGATCGCAAGACTAATAACTGAGATATAGAGATGTGAGAATAAGAGTAAACTGGGTTCATGTTTGATAGCCCATTTTTGCTCTGAAGACGCACTGGTCAAAGCAGAAAATTGCAGAATATTTTAATTTCATCAGCAGTTCTACTGCAGAATAAGGTCAAATAATGAAAAAGCTAAATAAAAAAAATAAAAACATTTATTAGAAAAAATAAAAATTCCGAAAGTACTTATTCGAGAAGTAAATTTGTTTGTCAAATTGTTTAACAGATTCCAGGCACATTTTTCTTTTCAATTTGAACATAATCACCAAATATGGATACTTATATCTACTGATAAATCCTCAAAGATTCATAATCAAAACAATAGAAAATCCTTTCAAATTAAATATATACGGGACTGTTCATTTTACTATTTTTGAACAAATTATCGAAATGGCAACTATTGGCACTGATTAGTGAATGGAAATCTCAAAAAACTTTCCTAATGACCATAATCACAACTGAAGAAGAACTAAAATAAACCGATTACAAATCAAACCAAAAATTGCCTGTCCGGTTTTTTCATTAAAAAAAAAAGAATTTGGTTGAAGATTTCCCTGTATGAGTTTGATATCCTGATTGGTCACATATCAGTTCACATCGATTCATTCGAAATTGCATAATTTAAAGCTATGTATACGATCATTACATGGTATAAAATCCACAAAATTCAAGGCAATTTTTTTCTGAAAAAACGAAGTCCGCCGCTTCCCAAAAAATTAGTATGAATAAAATTTTCAATACTGGCAAATTGTTTCTAACAAGAAAATTACATTATTCTGAATTATACAATACACCTTGTCAGATTTAGACCCTCCAATTCTTGGAATCAACTGTAAAAATGAAATGAGCAAGAGAGAGACATTGTTTTTTGTTTCGTTATGTTGTAAGTCAAACCTTTTATTTTCAAAGAGAATGACAAAAAGTAGTATAATATCGAATAGCTGAACAAATTTCGGCATCTGACATATTCTGAATACAGGGTGTTTCAGATATGGCTATGGAACGATCTCAATAGATGTCTTGAATGAATATATATTAGAATTGAGATTCATATCATTAGATCTTCGATTCTTTGTTATAGATACGTGAGCAGAATTATCTCCGACTTGCGACGTCTCCCAAAAACTAAAAGCGAATTTCATTCGTAAACCTGATTACTTGTTGAATCTCACTTTATATTTTGTTTTAGTGTTTTGTTTCACTATGTTAAAAAGTTTAATTATTGATCTGACAAGATTTGTCAGTTGTATTTGTATAATCTGAATGGAGATAAACTTTCGTGAGGTTTATTTGTGCTTTGAATCTCAGAGAGTTACATGTGTTTTTCGATACCAGCAGTTCAAATCGAACTATCAGCAACTGTGGATACCAGTTAAACTATATCAGCCATAAAAAACGATTCATGTGTAGGCGAGGCCAACCAAAGGAATTTATTTCCGATAATTTAATAATCCAATTTTGTAGGAGCTGAAAGAGAGCTCAGAGAATTGATCGAATCTGTTGACCAAGAAGAAATAGTCAACTTCTTGAGTCTCAAACAGATTGAGTGGAGATTCAATCCAGCGCGAGCATCACATATGGAAGGAATATGGGAGCGGATGATACCACAGTCCGTATCATCCGCTTCCATATTCTTCCCATATATGATGCTCAAGAGACAGTCCTCAAGATATCTTTGAAGTCGATCAATCCAAGAGAAGAAGTTTCGCATACACTGTTAATTGAAATTAAATATATGATGAATTCAAGACCACTCACTGACATTTCGGTTGATCCAGTGGAACGAGAAGCTATTATAACACCCATGCAAACATTTCCTATTGTTACGTCCTGGGGGAGAAACAGTGGCGAATTGCTCAATCTTTAGCAGATTCGATTTGGAAGCGATGGATACTAGAATACAGACCTACATTGATTCAGCGCTCAAAATGGCATGCTAAAAGTGAGGTGGTTAAAATCGGCGATATTGTCTTGATCGTTGATGAGAAAGTGCCAAGAAATGTCTGTCAGATTGGAAGAATAGAGCAAGTGTATCCTAGAAAGGATAATATATCATTCGAGTCGTCGAGATGAGAACAAATCGAGGTGTTTATACAAGACCTGTCACGAAGATTCGCGTTCTACCTACATCTGGGGAAAGATTAATGGTGGAGAGATGTCTTCACGCACCGGAAAATGTTGAATCTCACTTTATATTTTGTTTCACTATGTAAAAAAAAGTTGAATTATTGGATCTGACAAAATTTGTCAGTTGTATTTGTATAATCTAAATAAAGATAAAGGTTCGAGAGGTTCATTTGTGCTTTCAATCTCCGAAAGTTACATTATTATTAATGGGCGGCCCCAGAGTGGACGATCTTAAAACGTCCATAAGACGCATTTGTTCTGATTGGGCGGCCAGGAGCCGGTCTATTTTTCATATTTTGGGGTTAATTATAAAGCCTCAAAAAGGCCTGCAGTGTAAAATGGGAGAAAGTCACATGTCATCATCTATTGGTCTATCAGCGTTTCACTTTTTCAGAACAAAACCACCTTCGAACCTCGACGGTCTCCGGCATCGTCACCGACCCTCTTCCACCTTCTTACTAGCCTTGTCCACGCCAATGGCAGATAAACCTTCCACGCTGACCTCCTCCACATATTGTGCCTCCTCCACACACTCCAAGCTCGAATCGGCGCTCGGCTGGCGCTCGTTACGCCAGTGGTAGCGGCTGGGCGCCGAGTTGGAGCGCCCTGATCTACCGATGTGCTGGCGCTGGGAGCAGGCTGGGGAAGCATGGGAGGCAGGGGGCACCACTGTCGTGTCCCTGCGATGGAGGAACGGGTTCTGGAAGATTCGCAACGAATGATTTTCAGGTACTGTCTGTAGGTTAATCGAGGAGGTGGTATATTCATTTTTTCCACCACTAGCTATAGGACCTACTAATTTTACTCCCTTTGAAGGCGTAAAGTGTGCTTTTACTAGCAAGTGATTTTATGCTACAAATGAGTTACATGATGTTTTCATTAATTGATCTTGAATCTACCATTTTCATACTCAGTTTTCAGTAGTGAATACCATGTTCTATCTATATCAACTGAACAGGAAGCAATGCTATTGTCTCCGTTCAGAAGAATGCAAGCGGATTCCTTGATTTTTCTTTTTTTGGTTGTTATCTTCCTTTCCTATGATTTTGATATTATTCCACTCTATCCATCTTCAGTAAGGATATGTTCAGTTAGCTTTTTATCTATCTTTTCTTGATATTCACTACTGAAAACTGAACATGAAAATGGTAGACTCAAGATCAATTAATGAAAACATCCTGTAACTCATTTGTAGTCTGAAATGAATCATTCATATGCCAACATCAGTATGACACTGAGAAGTGTGAAACTATAAGCAGAGCTGAGCAGAGCAAAACTTCCAAAGAAAAATATTTTGCATATTCATGTTGAAAACGGGAGCAGATTCGTTCTCGAAACGTCCAAAGATAAGTAAAAATTCGATATATTTTCAATATATCTCTGCATCAAACATTTTTTCAAACAAAGTGTCACTGACAAGCTACTGGATTTTTCTTTTAGGCTCGCTGATAGAAAAAAATTGTTAAACGCAGTGACATTTTGGGGCAAATCATCTGATTTGTCCCACTACAAATATATTGAAATAATATGCATATTTTTATTTTATATAAACGAGGAGAAAATCCCAAAAAATCAAGTAAAATGAATGTACCACCTCCTCGATTAACATACAGACAGTATTTCTGGAGGTGATTGAGCAAAAATAAGTATAGTTTGATGAATAATGAACTAGTGGCCCAAAATGTATAGTGAAAGGAAGACATAGCCTTCCAAAGTTGATTAAATTAAAATGATTTTTCTGCATAATTCTGAACGGTAAAAGCCATCAAATTGAAATTTCCTGCATAAATGTGTGATGATAAAATACATTTTTCTGATACACTTCTCTGTGATGGAGGAACGGGTTCTGGAAGATTTACGTGAGACAATACATTTTCAATATTCTGATAGATAATTACATTGAATAAAACATCAATTTATTTTATATTTTCAATATTTCACAGTTTCGAAATGATACCAGACAGGATGATATCTGAGAATGCGGCGATTTTTGAAACGTTGGAGAACCACATGTGCGCAAATTATTCCTTTAAATTTTTTAAGCTCTTGTGATATTATAATTGAGGACACTATATACTGAGATCCAAGAGAAAATGGTCTTATTGTGTCTCAGAAAACATCAATAATAATTTTTAGGTACCTAGCTCATTTTATTCTCACTGACCTGGAAGGAATGTTTCTTGAGCATGTGTTTAATGAGTATCAAAGTATCCAACTTCGGAATGGAAGTTATAACTTTGGCGACATCTTCGTCCGTAACCTCCACTAGATGGCAGTTTTCTTCTTCGGAAGGAAGTGGAAAACTACCCTGCTTTGTTACCCATGGATGTTCCTGATAAAAACAAAAAAGTAAAAAAAAAACAACTTGACAAATAAATACAACTGACTTTCAGTTCTTGGAGAGTGATCCTCTGGTTGGGGTCCTTGATCAACATCTGTCTTATCAGATCTTTGAGATCGTTGCTTATTCGAGGCAGTTCTGGAAACTCGACCGGTTGGTTCTTGATCTTGGAATACAGTCCTACGATGTTTTGATCATGGAAGGGCAGACGACCGTATACGAAGGCATAGAGGGTCACACCCATAGACCAAATATCAGTACCCTACAAGAAAAACAATCATTTGATATCAATAGTCTATATTCGAATTAGCCCAATTTATTTTCGGAAGTATCACACACTTTCTGTGGCATACTTTGGCCAAATTTTTCCCTTTCCGATTGATATTTCGATGTTTCAGTGATATTTTACGATAGTTTGGCAGTTTTTCGACTTCAATTTCCTGAACGCAACAAAACCCGAATTAGTTTAGTTTACTTTAACTGAAAAAAATGAATGAGGGTAATTCATGAAAACTATTTAATGAATACTTTGATCACATTATTGATATGTTGAAGGTTTTTTTTCTTCACTAGAAGACTCTCCAGATCGCGACATATCCATAGATTAGTTACTGATAACGCAAGTTTAAGACATATTGACATAAACACCATCCAAGATTTTTTTACAATTTTGGTTGTCATGCTTTCCGTTTGGTGACTTATAACTTCATGAGTCCATAGGAAGAGTAATTTTTTCATTTTAGTTGAATTTTCTAAAGGCAACAAAACTCGAAAATTCAAATTTCAAGTTTTCTTCGCCAAAAAAAATTATCCAGTGTAATTCGATAAGACAATTTCTCCACTCGACGACTCTTCAATTCGCGATATTTCCACAGATTAGATACTTTTCTGACGACGCAAGATTGTCAAAAATTGACACAAAGGTCATATAGCACGATGCAGCCATCAAGACTCGTTCACAATTCTGGTTGTCATTTTTCCAAATGTTATAGGTTCCATTTTTCGCTGAAAAACTTAGGGAAAAGTGTTTTCACTGTCATAATGATAAAATCACAGCGGCTTATGGAATTTTTTCACATTAATTGAATTGTAGAGTAAAAAACATTTAAACAATTAACAGAAAATGCATTTTTATAAAAATATGGGAATGATAATTTGTTATGGAAACGTTCAAATTCGAATTTGTTCGAATTTTTCCCAGTTCAAAAAGTTCAAATTCGTGGGTATTTCCCTAAGCTTTGGTGTCATGGAAAGAATGTATCATTCACAGTTAGTTTTCTCATATAAGCAAGCACATTTTTTGTGACATTATTGAACACTTCTGGAAATTACTGCGGTTCTGTTTCTTCATTAACACTTCATTCCCCTTTGTGTATTTTGGCTATTCTCTCGTTGAGTATTTGTGACATTCCGAAAAAAATGTGGTGGGTAAATTCAATTTAGCTCTTTTCTACCTTGAACGATAGAGAGGAAAGTTCTCTTCCATCTTTCTCTTCAATGCTACCAACGTGGCCACATTGGAATATAGAGAGGTCCGATAAATCTTTCTTTGTCTAACATCTACTTTATTGTGCCACTGAACTATTTTTGAATTCAGCAGAGTGTAAAATTTAACGATATTAACAAATGATGTCAAAATAAGTATGATATTTGGAATTTCATTTCAAAAATTCTAAATGTTATCAGTCAATGACATTAATTTATGACATAGACATATCACATCATTATTACATCGAAAATAGTTTAGTGGCGCAGACTAGATCTTAGACAAGGAATAATTTATCGGACCTCTCTATATATTTCAATGCGGCCACGGTGGTAGCATTGAAGAAAGAGATGGAAGAGGAGAGAACGTTCCTCTCTCTCTCGTTTAAGATGGAAAAGAGCTCAATTCTGAGTGAATTTTCAATTTAGGCCCGAATTTTTTTCCGGGAAATTACTCAAATCCCAATTAGGTATATCTCCTGAAAAACAACTCACTCTTCCGCTGAACCCGCTCTGTCTTTGATCGTTCAGGGCTTCGGGGGCCATGAACGCCGGAGTTCCAGCCGTGCTGGAGAGGAAAGCGTCGCTCCCGTGGAATTCGTTGCAAACGCCTAGGTCCGCGATTTGGACGCGCCCGCATTCGCTCAGCAGCAGATTGGCGGGTTTGATGTCGCGGTGGATGATCCTTTGGTAGTGCACTAGAAAAGCAATGGAAATGGGTTTGTTCAAGTGAAAATAGTAAAGGTCGCGTGCACGATGACCCTGGAGGTAAAATATTGAAACACAACCTCACTTTTCTGTAAAGCATTAAAACACAACCTCCCTTTTTTTATTTGTTTACAGAGGAATCGAAGGATTGACGTAGTTTTTCTCAATATTTTGGCATACGAATCGTGTTTTTGCGCTATTCATTAATTCAAGCATGTCTTCTTATTGTGCTGTTGTACAATGCACAAAGAATGCAGCGAGAGACGAAAGAATATGATTCTTCAGGTAAATAGTAATCTCACATAGTTTCATTTATGAAATTTTGTCATTTCTTATTGAAATCTCTTCGGCTACTTCTGCAATAGAAGCTAATACGGCTAATGAATTGAAAATGTCTACAACACACACGATCATATTTCGTCAGCATGTCAGTCAGTCAGTCCTCCCGTTTGATTGCATCATAGATCTAAATGATTGCATGAAACCAATCTTCTTTCACGAGTATTTCTATTAGCTCTTCTTCTTCTTCTTCTTCTTCTTCTTCGAAGCACTGGTGGGCGGATGAACCCCCTGCACGTGGGCCTCCTTATTCGGGCCCATTGTGCGCCCACATGTTACGACATTCAGCTGGGTATGCCGACTGCCTTGGAGAAGTTCAGCAGCTTCCTCAGCTGAATCTCTTTTACGTCCTCTGGCCTCAAAATTATGTTGCCAAGGACAGCCCTCCTCTGATGCGTCAGTGCTGGACACTCAGTGAGGACATGTGATGACGTTTCGTCATCTTCCAGGCACCATCTGCAAAGGGGGTCATCCTTGATCCCAATAAGCTCTAGGTGCCTATTGAGGTGGTTGTGCCCCGTTAGGAGCCCCACTACCATTTTAAGGTTTCGCCTGTTTAGGAATAAAACATCTTTTGCGAGCCTCTTCGAAGGTTCCTTTATGTGGAGCTTCGATTGTCTCATTCCTGGTGTGTCCTGCCATATTTTGAGGAATTGCTTTTGCAGCTGTTCCTCTATAGAGGACATTGCCAGGCTATTTGGTATTCCCAAGATTGGTTCCGGTCCGACCGAGGTCCGTCCTGAACCGATCTTTGCCAGTCTGTCTGCCTTCTCGTTTCCGGGTATTCCCGAATGTCCCGGGACCCACATGAGGCTGACTTTTCTTAATTTTGCCAGGTTTTCCAAGGCTTTTCTGCACTCGGACACTAATTTGGATGTGATCCTATTGGATTGCAAAGCCAGTATTGCAGCTTTGCTGTCCGAGCATATAGTGAATGGTCTACGACCTCTCATAATTAGGTTTTCTTGGACGCAGGTGAGTATTGCAAGTACTTCTGCCTGGAACACTGAGGCATATTCCAACCAGCGCATAGTTTCACAGGTAACTGAAATTCAATTTTGAATCATTACAAAATTATTGACAGTTCTTGAAGAAACGAAAATATGATCTAACACAGAATAACCTTGCTATTGTCGTAGTTTAGAAATACCAAATTCGAAAGTGACGTTTGCTGTGGCGGCCGTTGCTATGGGTAACGGCTGTGAAGTTGTACTTCGCGTAATGTGTAGAAAACGCGAAGTACTCTCTTCCTTCACGTAAAATATAATAAAAACTCTCCAAGTCGTCTCCACAACGTTTGATTTCAAATTCAAGAAGGGGGGGACATGTTTCGGACCCAAAAGGTATCCATCATCAGCCAGGTTCTCAGTCATGGTCATCATCATAGAACTCTCGGTCTTGTCACGCTTCACTGCTGGATTTTGACTTGCCATCTTTGAGATATGAGATGTTCATATGAGAAATCGACTGATTTTTATCAATATTTGTTATCAATATTATCAGTATGTTTCTGTCAGAGTTTTTCAATCATTCTGTGATCACTTGCTGCTACCAAATGTACTGAGCAAATATCTGAGGTACAGGGCCCCAATTTAAATGATAATACCTGTTAACTTCATTTTAAATTTCATTTAAAACTATAAACATATTCTATTTACCGTTTTACCATGCTCATTATGACCATGTTCTTGCTTTTTTCTTCTCCACGTGAGTACCATTTTTTTTACTTGATATACCTACTAACTGTTTCGTTGTTCTTTGTAGAATAATTTCTTTCTGGCTGATGATGGATACCTTTTGGGTCCGTAAACATGCCCTCCCCTTCTTGAGTTTGAAATTAAACGCTGTGGAGACGACTTGGAGAGTTTTTAATATATATTAACTACATCACTCCACATTGAGATACCATGGATTTCTACAGTAGATACAAATAACTATTGATAATCGATATGAGAATACTAAAAATAACAATTCTAGTGAAAAAGTGATTAAATAAATGATCGAAATAACCATACAGTACATTCACCAACAAAAACACACTCACGGTATTCGATCCCGACGACCACGTCCCTGAAATAAGTCCACGCTCTTTCCTCGTCCAGCGGCGTATCGGTGGGCACGTCGAGCACCTGCCCCCCCTCCAGCAGCTCGAACACCAAGTACAGGTGGTCCTCGGCCGGGTCGTCCAGCACCTCCACCAGCTTCACCACGTTCGGGTGGTCCAGCTTCTTCAGGATGGCGATCTCGCGGTACACCTTCTGCAGCGGGTGGTTGATGGGGGAGGAGGAGGTGGATCGACCCTCTTTGCGCGCAGGCGGCAGTCTGCCAAACATGCCGGCTTTCTTCAGGAGTTTCTTTTTCGACAGGATTTTCATGGCCTATAAGAACGACCGATCATCGATTTAACCAATGATTCTTAGTAAAATTGTTGCTGGTTGTAGGCGTTCACCATGGTTTTGATAAGAATATTTTTAGTTGTTGTACTTTCGAGAAGTCCATGTAGAAACAATAATAAATAGAAGTTGTCGTTCAGACATCGAAAAAAATCTTACTTGAATTTTCTCTCTGGAATTCGGTCATTCGGCCGGGATAATATAAGATATATTATATTTAAGGTAAGATTTCGACTCAGAACAAATGGTCCTTCGAGCCGGATAATATAAGATATATTATATTCAAGGTAAGATTTCGACTCACAACAAAAATACTTCAACAGCTCAAGGAAAGTACCAGATTTTCAGATTGGAATGTGTCAGTGAACTGTATAGTTTCTGCTGTACGAAGATTTCAGTCGCATATTGTGTAATGAATGTGGGGGGACTCAACCAAGAATGCACTCAGGAAGTAGAAGGACGCTTTAAATTACAACAGCAAACATTAATAAGGTATATGAACTTGAAATGACGAACAGGCATTAACGACATGGTAAGATTTCAGTCGCATTGTGTGTAATGAACAAGGAGACTCAACCAAGAATGCACTTAGGGAGTAGGACCCTTCAAATTAGGACAGTAAACATTATCAAGGTATATGACCTCGAAATGACGAACAGATGGTAACGACATGATAATATTCCAGTCGCATTGTGGCTAAAATTCGAACAGTCTGAAGGAATGTCCACGAAAACGTTCAGCTTTGTCCTCACTGAACCTTCGTGGTGCCACGTCTGAAGCTCATCAGAATAGTAGAGATACTTGTCAAATGCCCACATTCGGCTAAGAAACAAAAGAATCGGAATTATTTTAAGCTATCCGTGTATCACCTCCACCATAGCTTCACTACATTCGAGCGGTGCAGCTTTTTCAGGATGGCCATATCGCGGTATACCTTCTGCAGAGGGTAGTTAATAGGGGAGGAGGTGAAGGAGCCTTCCTTGCGAGAGGGGCAGTCTGTCGAACATGCCGATCTCCTTCAGGAGTTTCTTTTTTGGCAGGATTTTCATAGCCTAAGAACCGATCATCGATCTAACTAACGATTTTCAATGAAACACTTCGATAGATTGCTGACAGCTCGAAGAAAGTGCCAGATTTTTTAATAGGAATGTCTGCAGTGAGCTGTATAGTCTCTGCTGCACGAAGATTTCAGTCGCATCGTGTGTAATGAACTCAAAATGATGAATAGATATTAACGGCATGGTAATATTCCAGCTGACTTGTGTTTGAAATTCAAACAAAATCGACGCACTTGTTTCGAATTTTCGAATCAGATGTATGGTGTCTGCAGAACATGACACCTCTGTGATTCAACGTGGCCGGCTTTCTTGAGGAGTTAAATTTTTCGTGAAGATTCTTATGAAAGAAACTCAAACATAATGACAAAAAACTTCGAAAGATTGGGCTTCAATTGGATTCAAACAAAATCGTTGCACTCGTTTAGAATTTTCGAATGAGATGTATGGTGTCTGCAGAAACCGGCTCATCTGTGATTCTACGTGGCCGACTTTCTTGGGGAGGTTTATTTTTCGAAAGGATTTTTATGGAAGAAACTCAAACATAATGACAAAAAACTTCGGAAATATTGTTGTCAGCTCAGATGCTTTGAAAATCGTTACACCTTCTGCAGAGAGTATTTAATAGAGAACGATTTCGACGATATTGAAGACACGCAAGAATCGTTGCACTCGTACCAAACTTTCGAATGGAAATAGTAAGCTGTACATTATCTGTTGTAGGTGGCAGCGCTGTGATTGACAATGGCAAACAAATGGAACAATTTCAGCCGCCTAGTGGGTTAGGTAATTTTGGACCTATTACTTATAGTTACAGCTCCGATTTCCTTAGTGACTTGACAAAAATTGTTGGAATCAGTAGAAGAATGGAGAAGTAACCCATCCATGTGGATACATCGTTTCAGTTACATATTGATCTAGTATTGATACAATTAATTTCACGAAATTGACAATTTTGGCTAGCTTATGGCCTACATAGAGCTTGCCCAATTGACGCTAAATAATTAAATAGGACGACGAATACAGCGTCGGTCAATAAATCAGGCGAAATGAATGGCATCGGAGATCGGATTGCACACCAGAGCGCCGTAAATTCCAACCCGAGATCGGGTAGTGGCGTTACTCGTTACGTTATCCCATCCTTCCCTCTCAGGGAGCCTGTTATTAAGTGAAAACTGTGGGAAGCAAGAAGCAAACTTTTTTCCACTACGTAACTCAAATTTAATCGCTTCCATCTCCCACGAATATTACGAGAAAAACACTTCCTAGAAAATTTTCCAATAGTCACACTGCTTCGTTTCATGCCTTTTCTCTAGAATAGCCGATCTCATACCTTTGAAGACATCCATTTCGATGCTTGGTATTACTACCAGCAATAACCTTACTTGGAAAATCACGTGAGATCAATTGCTAAAAGTGCATCCCAAAAACTTGGTTTTCTGTTTCGGGAGAGGAGCTATTTCACTTCCAGTCAGCTGCTTATGATCTATAAGGCACAGATCCGACCTGTCCTGGAATACTGTTCCCATATTTGGAGTGTAGCACCCAAACATACCCTTAAACTGTTGGATTCTGTCCAAAAAAGGGTAATTCGTCTCGTGGGTGCTTCTTTGCTCACAAACTCACTCACTTCTCTGGAACACCGTAGAACAGTTGGCGATCTGGCTCTATTTTATAGATATTTTCATGGACGATGCTCTTCTGAACTATCAACAATTGTTCCTCCCTTGGCAGTCTCCGCGAGGTTAACCCGTCGAGTTGAGGCTTCGCACCTCTTCGTGGTCACTTTGGAGACCTGCAGAACATCTCTTTCCAAAGACTCTTTCATCCAACGAACAGCGAGGCTCTGGAACACATTGCCAAGAGAGGTGTTCCCCGAGGCATATAACCTCCAGAAATTCAAGTAGAACACCAATATCTTATTTCCCTTGGTTCTCACGATGTTCACTGAACATTACAGGATATTCCTTTTCGTGGGAACCAGAACATGAAAAAAAATAACCAGAGTAAGTAATTTCAATCACCATCGTTTTGATTTCAGTCATACGTGATCACTGTGTTTTTCGCCGGGAGCCCGTTTGATCCTCCGTGTGCAGATTGCCTTCCGTTTGAGGCTCAATATCGCCTCTCGCGTCTTAATTTCTGGTCTTTATAGAATTCTCGCGTGAGTTAATGCATTTTAGATTACCAGAAACGTGTACATGATACGAAAGTTCCTGGCCACTTTGGCTTGGGCCTATAGGGCGTAAATATAGCTGCTAATCCGGGCCTGTCAATCACATTTTTCAAAACTTTCTTTAATTTTTGGTTCAATTGTACATTTTTTGGTTCCTTGTTTAGATTGTTAGAATGATGAATTTCATTTGTAGAAGGCGTAGAGTTTTTAAGAAATCGGTAACCTCGTATAAATTGAATACCATGATTAAAATAAATTGTTCTTAATGAATAATTATTTCGAGTGGTCGTACCTTCATGAGAGTTAAATCTGAATGATGAAATGTTTCAGACGACCAATATACTTCTGCATATTATTTGATGACACTTATTCTAGAAAAAGAAATATTCTTGCAGCAAGATTTTTCATTCCAAGACGTTCGACCTTGAGAGACATGAAATACATTTGATATTTTATTAAACATACGTAGAAGCCAAGGTAGAAGCATTAATAGATAAAATAATGTTTAAATCGAGTTTCTACTTCGTTATTCGAAAACTTCTCACAAATACAGATATAAATTTGTGATTTTATTAGAATTTCTCTCAATAACGTTCCGAGTTTTATGCAGTTTGCAAGTAATTTTAATCTTCTGGCTCCATGCAGTTTCTGCAAGAAGTTCTCTAAGACCAGTTTCCATTAACATAATGTGATCATTCAAGAAACCATGAAATATAATCCAATCTTAATATTATGGAACTTCAAGATCCTGTCCATATTTTCCTATATAATTATCATTTATATCGTTGTATTCGTAATGATATTCCGATGAAATTATTATCCCAAGCCAGATGTGTGATAGTATACTGGGTGAACCTATTCAAATAGCTATAGGTTCAATTACGTTCCTGTATCCTGTATACCTACACCTACATATTATAAATTCATTGGTGTATATTCCCAAATAAATAGCATCATCAACAAAGGAAGTGGAAAGATTGGTCATTAATATTTTCAAACTCAATTTCTAAAGGATACTTTATGGTGGATTCGACAGAAAAGTATCTACTACATATCTACTCCATGTTTTTAGTTATTCATCGTATTTTTGACACTGTTTCTTTAAAGTTCTTCACGAATATATTTCTACATTTCAACTGAATCCTCACTGAAGTATCGGAGATTAGAATGAGATGTATTAACGTAATTACGTTGTTGTTTTGTTCTGAACAATACACAAATTATTGATCCAACTGAAGAACTTTCCCAAAAGATGAAATGAGGAAATGAAATATAAAAAAAACTTACATAATGAGTATCATCTTCTTCGTTGTACGCTAATTTGACTATTCCATAAGAGCCCTGAAAATAATAAAATGAAGCCATTATGAAGAAAACGAAACCATATCAGTTAAATTCACACCAAAAGTATGGTATTTTACCTGCCCTATGCTATCCATGAGTTTGTACTGGTTCAACTGGAGATACATCCCGGATTTTTCGATGCTGACCCTTCTAGACTCCCTCAAGGGCTGCCTCTTTCTGTTGCTCCTGGGACTGTTGGTGGGACTATTGGAAGGCGAAAACTGGCAATTCGAGAAAATTGGTCGACTCTCCGTAGCAGCTAGAATATTAAACATAGTCGCTCAACAAGAAACATTACAACGCTCTGATATTTATTTTAAACAAATATTTCCACTTTCCAAAAAGTCAATTTTTGATGTAACTTTGTGGATATCAATTTTTTTGCTTGCATCTTTCCTATACATAATAAGTTGACGGTTTGGTTGACTTCTTCTGCATGGAAACACGATAGGTACCTTAACGAGGGGAGTGTACCGACAGTTGGCGTCTACTCCCTCTTCATAAAGTTGTCACCTTTTTGATCAGAAGAAGCACATGATGCCAAGTTACCAAATGTTGAGAAAGTCAGGAAACACTTATCAGTTTTTGCAGGATATTTTTGAAAAAAAATATGAGATGTCTTCAAATTCGAGACAGCTATAAAATGGTGTATTAGAGCAATTAAAAAAGGGACACCCCATATCACCATGACATATTCCATTTTTCACAGCAAAAACTCACCTGAAGATTTTGATTGGATTGACGATTTAGGCCCGTTTCCTTGGCCATTCTCGACAGAGACGTTCTCAGAGTGATTTTTCACGGAAGGCACTGAGTTGAGTATCACAGGATTCGTTTGGATCGGCTCGGATCGGCTGCAATCGTTCACAGATCGCCCGTTATCGGACAAGTCCGCCTCCGATCGCTTCGTTCGGGAGATTTCGGCTCGTCTTCGGTCGACTTCGACTGGCGCCCGGCCGGCCTCGGGTTGTCCCGCGAGCGATCGTACGGCATCGTGAGCGGGCGCCGAGATCATTCGGGTCACATCGTCTCGACGCTGATGATCTGGCGACGATCGGGCGACTTCGAGCAGCGATCTGGTGAATTCGTTTTGCGCTCGGATCACGTCGCCGGGAGAGCGTACTTTCTTGAAGACCGTATGGAAGTTTGCGGGTTTCTGGATATCTGGTTCTTGAGCTTTCGGGTCTACATCTACAGCGGTGTGTCTGAAAAGGGGGAGAAAATCTGAAATTAGTGGGTTTGTAAGATAAGGAGCAAATACTGTAGTCAGTGAACAATAGTCTCAACTCTGATCTTCTTGTTATTGAGAAAGATAACTGCTTTCACTTCTGAGAAATCTCACCTAGGAGTATAGCATTGATGTTGTACGAAACTTTGAGGTAATTTTTTTGGGTGAAAATAGGAAAAATTCACTGTAAACATACTTCCCAAAAACGATTCGTTTTCGGAATACAGGATGTTGAAGTTTCTTGAAAAAAATTATTTTTATTGTTTTATAAAAACTGCTTGAACCGATACAATTGAAACTCGGAAGGTTTTTTTCATAAAATATACCAAAAGTGTACCCACGGGGCGAGTCGAATAGTTTCTTGCACAAAAATTAGAATCTGGTTCCCGAATATTCGTGATTTTTTAGATTGAAAAACACAAGTGGCCCAAGTGATGTCATCATTCATAGAAATCCTCATAGTTTCAATAGTTGGAACGAATAGTGAAAATTCCATAAATTTACTTTCAACCAATTAGAAGGCTCCTTTATGTTTGCAAATACTTGAGTGTCAAATGTTATTTGACATCTACGCAAAATAGGTCGTAGGGTTCAGCTTCTCATCATATTAACAGCACATTCCATTTATGAAATTTTCTTAACGAATCTCCCACGCAGCAGAACTAATTCCCAATAATTTTTCACTCCGTTACACATTCGTGACCTTGAAAAAAAATATCGAATATAATACCACGAGTGCTTCAAATATTAACGATAATTTTTTTAATTTTTTATGCGTTTATGCGTTAATACATAAACTAGTTTTGAAATATATAACCTAGTTATGTTATTGTTTATGACAGGAATAGTTTTTATCAAGTCGAGTGATAATTACTATTGAATCATCACACATACCTACCTATAAGGATAAGAGAATTGACGCAGTTGTGTCTTTACTCTTTATTCATAGTTCTGTGTTGACAGATTAATTTAAATTATCGCGGACCATGCAGTGTTATCAGTATAGTACCGAATGATTAGCTAGAATGATGGATTGCTATTGGTAGAACCAACTAAAAAGGTCACATTTTGAATGTGAAAAAGATAATCGGTATATAATAATTCTGCTGCTAGGGAAGATTATATTTGAAACTCCGTGAAACTCCCCAAAAAAAATCTAGAGAAGTTATAACCTCTCAACTGAAAATCAATTCTTCTGAACGGGTGTGGAGTTTGTCGTTGAGACCTGGGTTACCTCTATATACAGGGTGATCATGTTTAAATGACTAACAATCCAGGAATCGATTGACCTCAATGGAATACTATTATTCCTCTTTGTGAACATAAGCTCTAAAGCAGTTCGTTATTGAGATATAGGACGTAGAAATTACCCCATAGAGTTCAATAGTTGCTATCACAATTATTATTCTGTTCGATAGCATACGAACTTTTAGTCATGCAGGAAAATTGACCACACCGAATATAGACCGTGTCCTTTGAAAACTTTGCAATTCCGTAGTAAAGTGATGGAATTAATATCGAGGGTGAGAACTTGCGAATTGCAAGCATCTCAAAGTTTCTCCGCATCAGGGCTGAAATAGTGCCAAAGTTTAATAGCTTGGTTGGATCACCAGAAATTTTATCCTATTTCAATAGTGTCTAAGGATATTCGCTTTTGTCTATTGTGTATAGATAGTACAGAATAATAGTCCAGTATCAAATTGGTGATGGTTCAAAAGTTATTCAATTTTTTTTTAAATGCGACCCATTTCAAAAAAATTAATAACAAAAAGGCTGTTTTGAATAACCACATATATATGTTATACTATTTCGGAATCTGTATTAAATGGACAACTTTTTCTTATGATTGGTTATCTTTGTGGGGTAGTTTTTAAATCTGCCAGCGGCATTTAAAAATCGACATGGATATTTCATTCGCTAACAAAACTCAAGGAAAACAAAATATTTCTCAGGTACTTGATATAAGAAGTAATACATGTCATAGAGTTATTTCTGGGGAAAGATACATCCATGTGGATCAAATTTGTGAAAGAAAAAATCACAAATGTGACATAGTTTCATTGTTATTAATTCTTTATATAGGAATGAAAAAACTTCAATAACTTTCGAACCATTAATAATTGGATAACCACATGTACAGTTAGTTTGATTGGAAATGACCCCCCCATTCTGTAATGCCTAGAGAACATCGTGGGAACCAAAGGACATAAGGTAGGAATAGGTGTTCTTCTTAAATTCCTGGAGGTTATATGCCTCGGGGAACACCTCCCTTGGCAATGTGTTCCAGAGCCTCGTTGTTCGTTGGATGAACGAGTCTTTGGAAAGAGATGTTCTGCAGGTCTCCAAAGTGACCACGAAGGGGTGCGAAGCCTCAACTCGACGGGTTAATCTCGCGGGGACTGCCAAGTGAGCAACAATTGTTGATATTTCAGAAGAGCATCGTCCACGAAAATATCTATAAAATAGAGCCAGATCGCCAACTTTTCTACGGCGTTCCAGAGAAGCGAGTGAGTTTGTGAGCGAGGCATCTCCCACGAGACGAATTGCCCTTTTTCGGACAGAATCCAACAGTTTCAGGGTATGTTTGGGTGCTGCACTCCAAATATGGGAACAGTATTCCAGGACAGGTCGGATCTGTGCCTTATAGATCATAAGCAGCTGCCTGGAAGTGAAATAGCTCCTGGCCCGAAACAGAAAACCAAGTTTTTGGGATGCATTTTTAGCAATTGATCTCACGTGATTCTCCCAAGAAAGGTTATTGCTGATAGTAATACCAAGCACCGAAATGGATGTCTTCAAAGGTATGACAAGCCTATGTTGGGCACAGTGAGATCGGCTTTTCTAGAGAAAAGGCATGCTTGTGTTCTGTTTGCATTGAAATTTAGTGAAAGTTATTGGATACCCATTCGAGAATTGTTCCCAAGTCCATATTTATGTTGCCAACATGTCTCCCTCGTTCTTTTCTGATTTGCCTGGCTGATATTGAAGCCCTGGAAGAGAAGGCGGTATGGAGGGTACTATCATCCGCGAAGCTGTGTACTGGACATGAAGTTGCTTCCAACAAATCGTTGATATGGAGTAGAAATAGTGTTGGTGTTAGAATTGTTACATAAACGACCGCCGGCGGTTACCTATTTTTATATATATATGACCACCGTGAAATATGAGGAAGGAAAATATCGTTTCTGCATGAAAAAGGAGACTGGAGGAGATCTTTTGCTGAAAAGTTCATGTTGATTGATCATATTACCTAATTACAACGGAACATGGAAGTTTGTATTGTGATTGACATCTTATTACGGCTTTATTAAATTCAAATTCAGTGAAATTAAACAATCCAAAATGTAGTGTTATTCCTGGCCAGTATGAACAATTCAATAAGAGTCAATGGCAGAAAACAGTGACCATTGATCCTTTCACTATTTTCCAGAGAAACTCAATACATATCAAAGCAGAGTGATGAAGATGTTGTTGAACTATTCAAATTTGAATTCTCCTCATTCCCTTTGGCTCTCTTCAACGAAGAGGGTCTCCGAAAAGGGAAGAAGTCCCTGTATGAAGCCTCACTTACTTACAACATAGTTGATGATGGCTTCCTGCTGCATCTTGTCAAGTGAAATGTTGGCTCAACATTTGGGTAAATATGGTAAAAAGTGTACTGTGCTATTTCACGGCTACAGTGATGCTAATAGCACCAGAAAAGCTGAGCAGAAACGGAGGGGGCATTCAAAAACCTAGGATAAGACCATGTTCTTCACTGTTCAGCAGAAGATTTTTTTGTCAACTTGGTTACAAAAAAATTAAAGCACAGGGACTGATGCCAAAAGCAGCTAGAGGAGACGCTGACACCAAAATCGTTAGCTATGGTTCGCAAGCAGCAGATCAGCATCAAACTGTCACAGTTATAGAGGAGGATACAGATTTTTTTTCCAACAAGAATGATCAAGGAAACAATTTACATCATCCAGTTGAAAGTTATAATTAGAGTTATCAGCTTGGTCGCAATTGAAAATTCATTCGAACGGTTTTGTTTCATGTTTTTTCGTTGATTTTGTGAAAGTGTGCCATGCAAATTGAAGAGCAGCAAATTGAAGAGCAGCAAATTGAAGAGCAGATATCATAGCTTTTCTTCTTATCTTTCTGATACTGATGAAATTTTTCGAGAAAAGTGATCACAAAGTGTGAACTTTTTCGATATAATAATAAAACATTAATTTTTCCCAAGTCCGGTCCGGATTTTTTATTATAATATGCCATCTTGAATAGTTTCAATAAAGAATCGTCGCTGCCAAATTTTAGCAAATTACGATGAATCATTCCTGATATATCGGCCATCAAAGTTATATGGTAATTTCACATAATACCCTGTGATTCATACCAGTCCAATTTACGTATATACGAATCGCACAAAAAATAGCTGAGATATAGAAAGATGCCTCTCTGATGATACATGATACAGAGTGAATTAGCGCGAGATCACAGTTGAAAGTATCAATATATCAGTTGCCTCAGTCTCCGTCAGGCGTTTGGTATTTTCTTTTAACTACGGCGAGATGAGGTTTTTACGTCATAAGAGGGCCCGTTTTCAGAAGGTACTATTATTTATATCCAAAAATAAAACATTCCAGTTAATTTTTCGATCGAATCATGTCGTCAATCATTATTTATGTATAAAAGGATCATTATAAACATGGTTTGAGTTAAAAGTTCTACTAAGGTGTACACGAACATTTAAATGTGCAATTTTTTTTCTGTCAAACTTTGACCTGTGCCTGCACCCACTTTTTCGTGTTGTGGGTCATTTCCGATCAGAATGCATTACACAACTGGATTCGATAACAAACGTTCGATTCAACCAAAATCAATAAACCCTTCTATATCGAGATTGCATCTAACTATGAGAAAACAGGGTTTCTGACCTAAGTACGTACGGATTATGGTTTATTTGATACGTGGTAGCAACCTCAAAACGAATAG